AAAAAAAAAAAAAAAAGTAAAAGAGGTTCTAGTAGTACATGGCCATGATTTCAAGACTTTATAAAAACACATCACTAAACACATGAAAGTACTGGCAAAAATACAAATATATAAATTTAACAGAGTAGAAAGTACAGAAGGAAATATATACAAATGATTAGCTGATATTGAATAAAGGGACAAAATCAACTCATTGAAGAATAATCTTAAATCAATGTTGCTGCAGCAAATGGGCATCCTCCATATTTTAAAAATAACAGAAAAATTAAGTAAATATGATCATAGACACAAATAAAACAACTAAACTGTAAAAGTTTCACAGGGAACATTAAAAAATTCTGTTTTTAAATTAGGAATACTTTTTTTTTTTTTTTTTTGAGACAGTCTCACTCTTTTTCCCCGGGCTGGAGTGCAGATGGCACGATCACGACTCACTGCAACCTCCACCTCCTGGGTTCAAACAATTCTCCCACCTGAGCCTCCTGAGTTGCTGGGATTACATGTGCCCACCACCATGCCCGGCTAATTTTTGTATTTTTAGTAGAGACAAGCTTTTGCCATGTTGGCCAGGCTGGTCTCAAACTCCTGACCTCAGGTGATCCCACCCACCTTAGCCTCCCAAAGTGCTGGGACTGCAGGTGTGATCCATCACACCTGGCCGAGGAATGCATTTTTAAATAGCACCTAAATAACAATCAGTAAAAGAACCCACAGGCAAATTAGACTTCACCAATATTGAAAACATTTTATTTGGAAGACTGAATAAGGTGAATGAAAAGGCATAAAACAGAATATATACACACATATTTCTAAGACAAGATACTTACTGAGATTACATTAATATCAAAACCCATTATTAGCCAATAAGCCACACAAACAGAATTCTTTTTTTTTTTTTAGTTTCTAGTTTTAAGTCTGTTTACTACTTTTTTTTTTTTTTAAACAGAATTCTTAAAAAGATAGGTTTTGTGTATNTTTTTTTTTTTTTAACAAACAGAATTCTTAAAAAGATAGGTTTTGTGTATGAAAACTGCACTTCAATGTTGTAAGATAAATTGTTCCACACAAAAATATACATCCACTTCTCCTTTTGGAAAACCAGACTATAGGGTAACACAAGATTTACTTATTAAGGATTCATCTCCTCAAGTTAGGAAGGACAGCCTTCTCAGCAGCGGCAACAAATGGGAAGTAATCAAAATAATTCCTAACTGGCACAACAGATCTGGTTGAATCACAAAAACCACATATCTGGAAGGCAAGGTCTATGTTCATTCAAATCCTGCTTTCCTGCTTGTGCAGCAATCATCTCAAAAACAGTACAGAAGGTATGGGAGTCCACAAAATCTTCAGATGACTTATTCTGATGATGACTGTGACCAAAGGAGAAACAAAGATCTGAGGTCCTGAGAATCTCTATATACCACTAAACCATGAAGCCATATTAACATAGGTATTTCTGGATGCACTTCTGGATGGAACACATTTACTCTTCTTGGCTACAATCTTTTCCACTCTATTTATCACACCTACCTGTCTGGACCAATTATTGTTCTCACCTGGCCCCAGTAGGTCTTAGAACCAGTGACCTGCCTATCAATTCTGTCCCTCAGTGCTCATGGCTACAATGAAGGACCTGGGAAATAAGATGTCATGACCAATGCTAGGAAATATGGAGCATCACTGCAAATAAACAATTCATGCAGATCCCAGCACTTGAGTTTGTCACAAATGCCTCTTCTCTGGACCTAAAAATAAAATTGGCATCAACACCATGATTAGGACCATGAAGCTCTGATGTCTTCCCTAGGAGACCTTTGAAACCAATAAAAATTAAGACAAACAGGACTAAGAACTATTTTCTGATCTCATACTATGTCCTTGCGGGCACAGAAAATTGGAGCTGTTCACCCTTCACACTGCCAGAACACTGGCATCAGCGCAGGGTGAGACAGTCCATTTCCCTCTTCAGTAATGTATAGGAGGGAATATCCTACCTACCATGGCCATCACATTAAAAAAAAAAAAAATACCTATGAAGAAGGTAAACCTCCATGGGCTACAAGAATCCAGATCACTCTTCTTGGTCAAAGCTGGGTTTCATCTATGCCTTGATCAGTTCAGCAAGATGGAAGGGGACCCTCAATAAGCTTTTATTATTCATTATTCCCTTCAGAACTGGATGAGCAAAAATGTCTGCATTCCCTGGGCACATGTGGGTGACTGATGAAAACTATGAGGATATGCCACATGGTAATAATGTCTGTTGTAACACTGGGCAGATTAGAAAGTACAAGTAATCTCCAGAAAGCTTCCCAAGTACTTGGACCTTGTAGTGAATCTTTCAAGTATTGATATGCAGATATACGAGGTTCAATTTCTATCTGTTGGGTCCCTTGAAAAATCGGCTCTCTGGTGTGTTATGGTGAGTAAGATAATGGCACATCCCAACACTGCTAGGGCTCTTCTCTTGTATGAACTTTCTGGTGCCTGACCAGGGAATATCTTTTGTTGAAGGCTTTCCTACATTTACCACACTCATATGGCTTTTCTCCAGTGTGAATTCGCTGATGCTCAACAAGTTTGTTTTTATAGATAAAGGCCTTCTCACATGCAGTGCAGTTATAAGGCCTCTCTCCACTATGAACTTTCTGGTGTTGAATGAGGCTGGTGTGGTGTCTAAAGCATTTCCCACATTCACTGCACTCACAGGGCTTTTCTCCAGTGTGAACTTTCTGGTGCTCAAGAAGTCTTTTTTGATGGCTGAAGACTTTTCCACATTCATTGCACTCATAAAGTTGTTCCCTAATATGGATTCTTTGGTGCTGAAGAAGTTTAACCTCAAGGTAGAAGCCTTTTCCACATTCACTACATTCATAAGGCCTTTCTCTAGTGTGGATTTTGTGGTGCTTAAGAAGTGTTTGTTTGGAAATGAAGGCTTTCCCACATTCACTGCATTCATAAGCCCTTTCTCCAGTGTGAATTCTCTGGTGTCGAATGTAGTCAGATGAGCGGATAAATGATTTCCCACATATGATGCACACATAAGGCTTTTCTCCAGTATGAATTCTCTGGTGCTCAAGAAGTCTTTTTTTGTGGATGAAGGCTTTCCCACATTCTTTGCACTCATAAGGCCTTTCTCCCGTGTGGATTCTCTGGTGATCAAGAAGTGACTGTTTGTATATGAAAGATTTCCCACATTCATTGCATTGATAAGCCCTTTCTCCAGTGTGAACTCTCTGGTGTCGAATGCGGTCATAGGAATGAATAAAAGATTTCCCACATTCAATACATACATAAGGCCTCTCTCCAGTGTGGATCCTCTGCTGGTGCCCAACAAACGTTTGTTTGTGGCGGAATGATTTCCCACATACACTGCACACATAAGGCTTTTCTCCATTATGGGTTCTCTGGTGTTCCATAAGTGAGTATTTGGAGCTCAAGGATTTCCCACATTCGATGCATACATAAGACCTTTCTCTAGTGTGAATTCTCTGCTGGTGCCCAATGAGTGTTTGTTTATGGAGGAATGATTTCCCACATATATTGCATACATAAGGCTTTTCTGCATTATGGGTTCTCTGGTGTTCAACAAATGAGTGTTTAGAGTTCAAGGATTTCCCATATTCCCTGTGTTTATAAGCTTTTTCTCCAGTGTGGACTCTCTGATGATCAGTAACATGAACCTTCTCACTGAAAACTTGCTCACATTTGCTCCATTTGTAATGTCTTTGTTGAAAGGTCTCCCTGCTTCTATGTGCATACTCTTCTCTGCTGTGGGTGGTCTGGTGCTGGAGAAGGCCCAGGATGGTTGGGAAATCCTTCTCAACATCTTTGCACGGGAAAACATTGTCTGGCAGAGGAATTCTGCAACTATTCAGAAGCAAGGCACTGCTCTCCTCCTTTCTGATGTGTTTCTCTCCACTGTGCTGGTTTTGGTGCTGTTGCAGGTTAGAACCAAATGAAAACCATTTCCCACTGGCTGCAGAAGTGTAAGGTTTCTGCCAGGGAAGTGTTCCCTGGTGGTCAGTGAGGTACAAAATGTCTTTCATGACCAGGATACACATCTCACAGGAATGAGCATTTGGGATGGAAGAACTTGGCTTTGGAGTCCTGGCCTGTGACACTTCTAGAGAAACAGTCTGCTCAGAAGGGGCCTCCTCAGCCCCTATTCCATGCAAACAACCTAAAAGCATAAAAATGCAAGTGAAGTATATGCAGACTTTGGTGGAAGGGAAAAGCCCCATTACAAATACCTGTGGAAGACAGGGAGGGATGAATCCCTTTTTTTTTTTTTTAAGAGATAGGGTCTTGCTCTGTCACCCAGGCTGGAATGCAATTGCAATCATAGCTCACTGCAGCCTTGACCTTCCAAGCTCCAGTGACACTTCCATCTCAGCCTCCTGAGTAGCTGAGACTAGAGGCACATACCACCATGCCCAGCTAATTTTTTTTAGAATTTTTTGTGGAGATGAGGGTCTCACTATGTTGCCCAGGCTGGTTTCAAATTCCTGGGCTCAAGTGATGCTCCCACCTCAGCTTCCCCAAGTGCTAGGATTATAGGCATGAGCCACTGCACTCAGCCCATGTGTTTGTTTTCAGCAAGGGAGCTGGAGTCAGGTCAAGGAAGACAATACTTGCAGTACCAGGCCTCTTACGGTTACCATGTGGAGGAAGACGATAACCAGAGAGAACAAAGAATAGGGTGCTGTGGTGGAAAGAGAGGCAGGGGGCATCTACAACTTACTTCTCTGTCAATGGTTTTCAACGGGACACTGTCTCATGGAGAGAGGGGAGACCTGCGTAGAATGCATCACCCCAGGAAAGTGCAATTACAACTCAACAGCTGATGTTTGAGAACTGAAATAGTCTCTGATTTACAATGGTTGAACTTAAGATTTTTCCACTTTATGATAGTATAAAAGTGATATGCATTCAGTAGAAACCATACTTTGAATTCTGAACTTTTCCCAGGCTAGTGATACTCAGTATGTATACTCTTGTGATGTAGTGGTAGCAAGCTACAGCTCCCAGTAAGCCATGCAATCATAAGGCTAAACAACTGATACTCTACTGTATTGCTAAGCTAGGATGGCTAGTAAGTTGTCTGACTTACAATATTCTCAACTTACAATGGGTTTATCAGGATATAACCCGATCATGAGCTGACGAACATCTGCATATGCACAGCTCATAATATTAAATTTATTAAATATATGCTAATGTTGGAGAACATTGCAAAATAGGAACAGGAGAGATATGGAAAACAGAGGTAGGGGACAATCACAGTAGAAATGTCAAGTAGGCAAAATGTCAAGTAGGCAGAGAAAAGAGAAAAATGAGGTATGCCCATGAACCCTGGCACTAAAATAGTAGGGAACACAGGACATTTGCCTGGTATGATTTGAGTTCAGCCCTGAAATCATGCCACTGCTCCTACTCACAGGTCCCAAACCTTGTTAACCCCCTTTGCTGTGGTTGAAGACTTCACTACCCTTTCAGAAACACAGGCCTCTCTCTTGTCCTTGGCTTAAGTCAGGAGACTATCTGGGTCCCGGAAGGTAGAAGTCTCAAGGGAAAAATAGGGAGGTGAGTCAACAACACTGGCCCAGAGTGCACCAACCCATGACAGACTACAGGAGAAACGTTTATTTTTTTAAAAAGCCTTGGGAGAGGGTCTTGCTGTCATAGTCTAGAAATCCCTACAAATAGCAACCATGTAAGTACCTGTAATTCCTGAGAAAGGCAGGTCCAAAGACAAGTCTACTAACGGCAGGGGGAGAACTTGTAACACAGGTCCACCACAGAACTGAACAGTTACCTTACCAAGGAATGGCAAAACCAAGTGGTATTGGCTGGGCAGGTTACAAGAGTCTGAACCCAAACTCTTAACTAAAAGGCTTCAGGACAGTAGATGTTGCGGCCGCAAAAAGCCCAGGCCTGGCAACCACAGCACCTATGTCATCCACAGGTCAAGAAACCAAGGAAAGAAGCAGGGCCCATGTCCAACTCTGGAAAAAACAAGGAAACTCCTGGAAAAAGGGGAACAGCAGAGTCCAACAGAGGTCGATGGTGTGGTTTTAAGAGATCTTACCCACTGAGGTCATAAGCGAAAAGTTCTCCAGCATCACGTCATGATACAGGCACCTCTGAGCTTCATCAAGGAGGCCCCACTCCTCCTGGGAGAAGTACACAGCAATATCCTCAAAGGTCACATGGCCCTGCATGATGGGGGCAGGTGAGATCATGAGCAGACTCAATCCCCAGGAACCCCAGTAAATCTCCCTCCTCCCTAGTTGTCCAACTCACAGGAGATACCAGGTCCTTATGGTATCTCCCACTGGGCTCTCGGTCTGACATAATGGAATCTCACTCAAGTTCCTGCTAGTTCATCTCCCTGGAGACCCAGATATACTGAAACCTGTGCTTATTCTCTTGGCTTTAAGTGTCAGTACAAGGATCCTGAGTATACCCATACTCCCTCCCCATTTGAATACCACTCACGGGAACAAAGCTCCCTCACATCTCCAGACCATGACTGCTACACCCTAAACTCCACTGCCCTCAGCATCCATGACACAGTACTTCACTGGCTTCTCCACATGCCACTCTGCTCAAGGGACCCAGGCAGCACTTGCTAAATGCCACAAGGATCCAGCACCACCATACATCTTTGTTAGACCCAATTCAGAGGCAGTCTCTGGACTGTTATGAAGTCTTCCCCATCTGGCCTGGCTCTTTGTTCCAATTTCAGTCACTGAGAACTTGTGTGAGCTCAGTTGCCGAAGCCCACTTCTGTCTCAGTGTTGCCTGTCCTGTCCCCAAACGTCACATCTTTCCTCTCTCCACCTATATACTCAGTCAAAGCCTGGCCCCACCACATGCTGAATGACTCACCCAGTCAATCTCATTTGCCTTTAACCTAATCTGTCACCCTGTCTGAAACTACTCAGGCCCCACCAAGAGTTACGAATAAAAGTCTGAGCCAGCAAAGGGAGAAAAAGCACCAGGCCTGACCTTGGTGTCATCTGACTTCCAGTACTGCTTTGCCTCTGAATGAATCTCTTAATCATTGCCCATTTAAAGACTGTACCAACAGCCAGACACCCTTTTCATTCTACCCCCACACACCCATGGTTACTACTTTTCTTCATTTGTCTTAGTGATGTTTTTTTTTTTTTT